CTGTTCAAATGCGGAGTTTTGCGCATCGTGTGTGCGTGCGTGCGTGCGTGTGTGTGCGTGTGAGAGAGAGAGAGAGCGAGAGAGACCAGCTTCATCACTGTGTCTGTCACGCGACTCTGTTCCCCTTTCGGGCTCTGTCTTTACATTTATTTTGAAAGATGAAGCTTGCGATTATGGTAAGGGGCGTTACATTTCCGACGAGTGCTTGCGGTGTTCGGCCAATCACAATGCACTGGGTCAGCTGGCCAATCAGAGCAGACTGCGCTTATCGGAAGGAGGGACTTTGTAGAAAACGAAGCGTTTGAGAGAGGCGGGGCATAGAGGACCTACAATAATGTACAGTATTTGAAAAAGAATGTGTTTTTTGAACATTAAAGCATGTCAACATATTCTGTAACACCAAATACACAAAATAATGATCTTTAAAAAAGCATCATATGACCCCTTTAAACAATATTGATAATCGTTATACAATTTATACGAACATATACAGGACTTATACATGTATTGGTGACTTACACAATGAGATGTTTGCTGGGAGCTTCTTCTCCTTCTTTATCTTCATCTCCCTCTCTTTCGCTCCTTATTCTCCACACCCATGCTGACACCACCAGCGCCATGGAATACAAGCTGGCCATGCCTACAATGTCATACAGAAACCACATGGATTTAGTGGAGACGAATGGAAAACATGGAATCCAACACTGAATTTCTTTACATGTGTTTTCATTAAGGGAAAGTTAACCCAAAAATGAAAATTCTATCATAATTTCATGTTGTTCCAAACAGTTTTGGGTCCCACTGACTTCAATAGTAAGGATAAAAATACAATGGAAGTTAAAGGGAACCCTTATACTATTTGGTTATTAATATTCTTCAAAATATCATCTCTTGTGTCCCACAGAAGAAAAAAAAGGTATACAGGTTTGGAGTGGCTTTTGGATGAACTATTCTTTTAAAACTTACCTGTGTAGAAGAGGAACTGAATGAAGTATTTCTGATTGAGTTCTCCAACACAGTTATTGATCCTATAAAAGAGCAAACACATTTATCAGAAAGACTGCAAAAACAAAACATTATATTGCAAACTCTTATTCTACTTTAAATACACCCGGTTACATGAAAATATATTCAATTTGACAACATTGGCTAATGGAAAATGATGAGAGATTCACCATGGGCAGTGATGGTCCATTCTCCTGATGCAGCGCTGACAAACTCTGCAGTGATGGGCTCGAGGAGGCCGATACGTCTCACAGCGACTGCACACTGTCCAGCCCTCACAGCCCTGATGAGAGCAACACAAAGATTAAAGACATGTCAGAGAGCAAATGCACTGTGAAATAAGATCTAAAGCCAGTAAACAGAATATACACACTATGTGAACCACTATTAAATCAACATAATAACTACATAATAAACACTGTTACAGGAGTACAAAGACCAGCAACACTCACTCTGTCATTCAGACGGTTGGACTGGGACCTCAAGTCTGAGAAGTCAATGGCTGTCTCAGGTAGAGGAACCATACCTGTAATAATAATAAATGGTACAAATTTACATTGATAGCCTTTTTGACCCTGTGTAAAGCCTGACATATGAAATGATAGTCAGAGAAATCCCATTTTTTGAGTCAGTTCATTAAACAAGACAAATTCTAACATAAAATGTAGAAGTTTGCATATGTGTGTTATGTTTTGTATCATATTTAATAACAGGAAAGTATGGTCCATATAGTATGACATAGTGGGAGTATAGAGCTCATTCTTGAGAAAAAACAAACAAAAAAAACTTTCATTTAAAGGCCTAAACTGAGCAAATGGGTTCAGATGTTATTTATAGCCAAAAAGTAAGATGAAATTATGATACCTTAAATCAATTAGATCTTTATAACAGTCCAACTGACATAAAATGCATATAATTATGAGTTGTCACTTTATATCTCCCAATAATCTTAGTATGATGAAATTTAAATGTTTTGTTTTATGACCAAAGCTCTGTAGTTTTTATTGTGGGGGGCAAAACATATAATGCAAAGCAATACAACATTCCTCAAAAGCCTGTTGTATGATATTTAATACTTGCATTTGAACATGATTTCATCTTAAAATACTTACAATATAAAAGTATTCTTACTTTAACTTAATAAAAATCATTAAGTATTTTGCAACAAAAAGACGTGTGAAGTTGTACAATTACTAACAAGCCCTTTACTTCCAAAAAAGTATAAGCTATCAAGCAGAGGACAGAAGGCATGTAGTAGATTGTGTACAACAATTTTTAGCCAAGTTTTGATCATGCTGAATTTAGAGGATTTGAAAATTCATGTATCAAATATGACACATTAGACTTCATAGGGTTAAAACACAATCAGTCTACAATATATGAAACTCTGAGAAAACGAGATTGTTCCATGAAATAAGAGCACTCACCAGGATCAGAGAACACTGCTTTTGAATGGCACGCCAGCAACAGCAATAAAATAATATTAAACACAGCTCCATGGAGAGTGCACCATACACTAAACACAAACAGAGAAAATAGATAAACATTATATTTTGCATCTCACATATGTATTCAATGCAGTAGTCATTTGTTGCCAGCTACTTAACAGGACTGAAATTAAGGAAAATGGCCAATAAACCCCAAACAATTTCTTTACATTATGTGTGATAGTGTTGCCATACTGGTTATAATAACAAATATATAAAAGCACAAGCGGGGTTTTTTTTTCTCATAAAAACTCTTCCTAGTGATAGCCTGATAAATTATAAGAGGTTGCTATTTTAAAAGTTAATGTCCAAATAAAGTTGTGAGACATGTTACGGTTTCATGGAGAACGGAATGATATAAACTCTATACACATTTTACTTCCAAGTACTTCAAACAATACCACAGTACACGTCCAAAAAATGATTTCAAAAAAATTAAAAGAGCGAGAGCGCGGTATATAATAATATATTACAGTATAAGGTATGAAAGCTTGTTAATTTCATGTGAGATACCCTGAAACCTTAGACCACATAGTGTAACAGACTGAAAGTGTAGGAAACACACGTTGAATGCTGTTCTACCGCAGTGACAACGATGCTGGTACTAGTTGCAAACACTGTAAACACAGTTCGCGGGAAAACACCTCAGAACGCTGATAACATTCAGCAAGCAGTCTGCTTTTGAACGGCTGTTGCTATGGGTGATTCGAAAAAGGAACCGTTAGAAAGCGATGATCTCATGAGATCACGGGCGCTGTTACGTGAACCAAACGCTGGCTCTTTAAACCCTCGTTCATACGGTACTCACCTTCCAGAATACGCGGGGAGCAGGACATACTGAATCACAACATAGTCGGCGTAAAAGACGCTGAAATAAGTTAAAATGAGACAAATAAAGCCGCACGGGTCTCGCCGACAGCGAAACGCAGCCATCTTTCCATCTGCGGTCTTCCCGATGACGTCATAAAAGGACGAGCGTTAAGTATCTTCTCGTCGTGTCCGTCGCCCGCGTTCTGTGAACGTTTGTGTTTTTGTCTGGTGTCTGCTAATACTTCTTGTCAAAACATGATATAATAAACCATATATTGCCGTAGTCGTGGATTTATTAGTCACGCTGAATCAACGAAAGCATTTAAATCTTCTGCTTATTCAGCAACAGCTGGGTTTCTTCTGCTAGGCGTATTTGGGGTTTCAGCACGAGAGCGCCCTCTGGCCTTCGGATGGAGATTTACTACTGATCACAGAACCGTGCTTCACTGAAATCCAATCCAAAATATTGTGTAAACCAGTAGTGCCATTCAATTTAGAATGAATAATCCACAAAAATGTTTATAAGTGTAAAAATGTCTGACCTCCAATGCGCTCTGTGTCATAGTAAATGTACTTGACTGTCAATGGGGTGAACATGACACCAACCGTCTTGCCCGGAACGCCCATCTGGGAACTAACAACACAAACAACAAATAAACACTGCTAGTGCGGCAGAGGAGAGCAGCAAGAAATAATCTACCTTTGTCTAGATGATCTTACCTGACATAGGCACGGTCTACATCTTTGGATGGCCTGAGGTGGAGTAAATTTTAGATTTTGGGTGAACTAAGACAACAGTATCACCATAGTGACTGGCAAAATACTTAAAGCCTTTCTACTGTTGAAGTGTTATTTAGTATCATTGAGACATTATTGCAGTTTTGCTAAATATTTTGAATTAGTTTTTTATTGCCATTTTATTTTAAGTTTTAGCTAGTTTAAGTTTTTTTTTTTTTGTCAATTCTATTAGTTCTTTGTCTATATTCTTTTTACTAATTCATATTTCAATTTGAGTTATGTTAGTGCATCAAGTTCTATGAAATGAAAATGAAAACATTCACTTGAAAACTGAAATAATTTTTATTTCATTTAATGTTTATTTTATTTCAAGTAACAATAATGCATTTTATGGTTTTAATTCACTATATTATCTATGTTATGAAATTAATCTGAGACCAACTAAATTGTTTGAATTCCTTAGCATAAGTGGCCACATACCATCCAATAATGACTTCACTTGGCGAAACCTTCTTATGGAGCTCGTACATGTTCTTGGCGAACTCCATGTCAACAGCCACCTATGATATAGATATTGTAAGCAAGGATGAGGTCACTTTTGTGTTGTTCACTTTTTCTTTGAAGGATCATGTTTTTGAAATTCATGTACCGTTATATTTACAAGGTGGAACTCCAAAGTACATCCAATAATTTGATAGTACATATCCAAAAATATGGTGGTCCCATGGTAATTTCTAGAAATGTTTAGTAAGTGTAAAGTAATCATTCAGGTAAACGGCATATACCACAGATACTATGGTACACCACGAATACCTCATAGTACGTTAACGGGAAAATGAGATGATGCTGTTTGTCTCACCTCATCTTCAGACTCATTGTGAGGAACAGAGAAGCAGTTGGTGACTTCAACTGAATGCTTGTCTGTTGTTCCTGTGTGACACAAATTAAACCAGTTAAGTGGTGCTCTTTAAATCTAGTGCAGATGCGCTTTCTCATCCTCTTCAGCCATCCTGCTCTACTACAACACATGCTTCGTAAGACAAAACGACGCTTCTGTTGTCTTTATTAAACGCGACTGTCTCGGACTTCACTCAGAGAAAATAAAGGACCCACCTAGTAATGTTCCGATCACGCGACTCGCTCCCTCATTCCTGCGCTCGTATGAGTCTACAATCGATGCCAAAACCACTGGGTGGATTTTCACGACCGGGCCGTGGACCGCCATGACTTCGTAGAGGAAGTGAAGGATGATGATAAACAGAGAAGAAGAGAGAGAGCGCAGGTCTCCATGGGATTCATGCTGCTGCCCCCTAGCGGATGTAGGTGGCTGACAAAAACAGTTTGAGACCACATTAGCAACAATTATTTCTAAAAATAAACAGAAAGTTCTTAAATTTCAAAAACATTTCCTCTATTTCTAGGTCACAAATCAAACACATAATCATTATCATGTGAACTTCTTCAAAGGCCCTTGACTGCAGTGAAGCACAAGATGCTCATTGGAGCATCATGCTGCATAACATGGATCATGTGGTTTAGCATAAACTTGCTAAATTCAAGTCAGCATAAGTGCTGTTGTCATTGCAAAAGAGGCAACGATCAAATACTAAGACAATAGTACATTGAATTCAGTGACAGGTGAACATTTTGAAAATTGGAAAAATGTGAAAATGTGTAAAAACAACGTCAGTTGCCAATGTATTTATGTAATATTTGACTACATGATGTTTAGATTAAATTAGTCCGATAAAGGTGAGTCTCTCTTTAGAATTCTGCACAGCCCATCCAGTTGAAAAGGTATTTACATTCAGCTAGTCTATCAGCGAGGTGGTGGTAGATGTGTGACTGTACAATATGCCCAGCAGGTGGCGAAAGTTCATTATTTTTTCTGCCCAGTTTTCCTAGCTTAATCAGACCCACCTAATTAAAACGTAAACTTCCCAGAGGTTAAGTATTTTTAATACAAAAAGTATTTTTTAAAAATGCATCGGTTTCAAAGGGGGTTAAAAGTGTATTTAATGATAATGTCTGTAATGGTTATTATGTTTTTTTATACATAAGAAAAATACACAAAATAGTTTTTATACATACATTATACATTATACAAGCTGCACACTGAAATAGACACTGAATTATATTGATTTAATGTCAAATGTTTGTAAAGTCATGTAGCCTATATCCATGAACCTTTTATGTTTAAAGCTTTACCTGATTGAATTACGTTTTCATACTTAATTTTTAGCTGCTGCCACATTCTTTTTTTTTTTTTTTTTTTTGGCCTGTGAAAATGATTATTAGTTCAATAACTTGCCATACTGCCAGTTTTCACCTCTAATATTATAACAGTGATTAAGAATTAAACCTACGCGTTGACTCGGAAATATGTGGTGAATCGTAATTTTAGGAGCTCCATTGATCATGACTTTTTACAATCAGCAGAGTTGAATGAACTAACTCAAGTCAGCTGTAATTAAACCAAAAACCCAGAGTTTCCAATCTCAGGGTAAGTCAACTCAGAGTTAAATTTTTAACTCAGAGTTGGTTGAACCTCCTTATTGAAACAGGGCCCTTGTCTCTGTGACTGCAGCCACACGTATTAGCCAATCAGAAATCTTAGAGGAGGCTCTGCCAATTGCGTAAGTTTGGGGCGGGACTCCTGGCCGAAGAATTTAAGGAGTTGTTTTGAATTTTTGTACGGGCTACCTGTTTGTGAACACTCATTATTTTATTCAGATTCCTTTTTTTTTGCCATCAATGGGGCAGAAATGGCTTACAGCAGCTTTAAATATGAAGCTATGCAAATTTTGCTGCCTCTGGTCAGTCAAAAGTCAATGCAATGAAATTATGCCGCAAGGCAGCGGAAATGCACGGCAGTCTTAGCTATCAAAACTCCCTCTTGGTTCTCAACAAAATGTGTTCATTCCCCAAAGCAGTGTCAAATCACTCATACAGAAAAGTGCATAATATAAAAACCTAAAATCTAGCTTGCTGTGCCGTTGGTTAATACCTGCTAGTCACATTGGTTCATTTGATGGTTAGTTTAGCTCACTATTGGCTGACATCACCTGGGGGTCAATCATCATCAAATTGCATATCATTGAAATATTTAGTCAAATTTTTTAATTTTAACCCTAAATTCAAATAAGAAATTATTTTGTTTGGTGGTTGAAAACATTTGTAATACTTGATTGACCTGAATCTGGAGAATTTTGGCAATTATTTTTTAGCATGCATTATTTTTTATTTATAGCTATGAGTGTCCATGGGTTTATTAGTAAAATGATTCAGTTCCCAGTATTTCATTATACATGCCATATTAAATAATAGAACTGTAATTAAACTTCTGTGCCCATCAAAAATGCATAAACCTCAGAACAATTTATTCCAGTGGTTTTACAATGCCAGTTGATGCTCCTTGAAACCACCGCACTCCATAAATGGTATTAACTTTGTAATTAGGGCTACTGTTTACAGAGGACACGGGATAGTGACCATATTCGTGTTCCATAAGGGTTAATCTTTTCATTTTTAAGGGCTGAAATGCCTCATAATTATTGATCTTTTTATTTTATTGTCACTATTTCAAACTACAGTCCTTAACTCATTTGTTTCTCTCAAATAGACAGCAAAACCTTAAATGTGGCACAGCCTCTATCCTGCATTGCAGTGTGTCATTTTGCATTGTCAGCTGCCTGTTATTCTACAGTTTCAGCTTCTTTGGGTCATATCACGTCTCAGAAGATATGTGTTCTTGTGGGATCTGATAAATCACGCAGAGTTATGTCAGTCTGATGACTACTGATCCAATTATCTGTCTCCAGATTTCACACATCACAGCTCAGCTCATTTCCAAAAGGTTTTAAAAACTTGTTTAAGTAGCAGAAACACAGAAACTCCATCATCATCTCTCTGCTAGTGAAGTCGTTGCTGCGTACTTCTAACGCAATTTATTATCTTGGAAACATTTATTAGGCTATAGGCTATATTGTTATTAATTTAACAGTTCACAGCATAAATCTCTTTTCTAATTTTGTTAAAAAATATGCAATATATTTTAGAATGTTTTGTTGTGTCTCTTCATGCATGCAGTATATAGATCAATACTTTGTTAAAAATATATTTAGTCTTTTTCCAATGATTTATGTTCACATTACAGTAGTTTTCCTAATTAGTAAAGTTTTACACAGAAAGAAAAGAATTACTTTTGAAAAATATGTTCCCAGCGCAATATAAATGAAAAACAAGAAACTCCATATAGCGCATACACACTTCACACCTCTTTTCACACAAAACAGTGTTGCTGTCTGTTAATGTGCTTCACTGCATACTGTCGCCTCTTTTTCTCATTTAGCTGAGTCATCCTCTTAATGTCTGAGAGCCATAATAGTGGCAAACGTGTGTTGAAAGTTAAGTGTGTGTCAAACATCACAGTCTAGGATGGACAAAATGTATAGCCAATAGAGGGCCATTGACCCCAAACAGACATCCACCACCATACTTTGATTTTGAGAGTAAAACTGATCAAACTTTCAAAAGTCAAAGATATTGCAGATGTGCATTTGGTAACTTAAAGCGATAGTTCACTCAAAACTAAAATTCTGTCATCATACTCTCCCTCATGTTTCTGAATGAAAATTGTTTCAAAGAAAATCCTAAATCATTTTTCATATGAGTTTCAATGCAAAATATGGACTGCTGCTTTTGTGATTATAACTTTATGACACCTGCCAGCTTCAAACAATTTTAAACTCGTTGCGATCAGCAAAGCTTACAGGAAGTATGCCCCATGTTGTCATGGTTACGCTAAAGCAAACACTTTGGAACATTTTTGATGTAGGCCTACGCAATAAACATCATTTTATAAATGCATTGCACTGTTATCACTATAACCGCTGTAAGTCTGAAAAGGGCAATCTGCCGATCACCAAGCCAAAAAACTGATAAGAATGGTCATTGTCACTCACGTCAGAGCCAATTATCGATTTTCAGTTTCATGAACTAAGTGCCCAGCTACCTATTGGCAGCCTAGAGACAGTCCAGAAATCCCTGCTGGTTCACAGATTGGCCCTAATGCATTTTTAATGGCACTGAATGTCTCATTCATGCTTTTGATCAGTGCCTTAGCTCTTATTGGCACATTGATACTCAGGCCACAACAAACATACATTTTCTCCACAAGAGAACTATTGAAGGATGCATAGCCTCTTAAAAATTTCCCCTGCTCTCAAGGACAACACTGATGAGTGAGCGAATGTGGTCGCACAGTCTAATTTACTAAGCAGGGAAGGCTTGCAACTTTGATTAGTATAATAATAAGGCCATCGCAGACCGCCTACTGATACATCCACCAAGTGTCTAGGGAAAATATCATAGTAAATTATGCAAAGATGTGTTTTGCAGAGACCAGCATCCAAACAAATTATAGAATAATAAGAAGTCCAGCTGGTCAAAATCCATATCAGACCGTTTTACTGTTATCTTGTTTTAAGCCAATGTTCTCATCATGCTCCACTGCTTCCTTAGCTGAATGCTTATCTGTAGCTTTACCTGAGTTATGACAGATGTGAATATTTGAGAAGGTAGATTTTGTTGTTGTTGTAGACTAGATGTTTTTTTTTTTTTATTATTATTACTGGTCTGCTATTAACATATTAGGATAGCAGAAACCTCAAATGATCTGAATATGTTGTTGTAGGGCAGTCCCAGATAAAAAAAATATATATATGTTGAAAGAACGCTTTTCTAACGTTCCCGTTAAGTTATGAAAACATTATTCCTGAATGTTCTCTTAACATGCAAAACATCCAGCTTTTTTAAAAAACGTTTTTTCTTGGTTATATGAATGTTCCATTTGACCATTTTGCAAACATTATGGGAAAGTTACCTTTGAAAGTATTTTAAGTATTAAAGTTGAAAAAAGTTAACCAATGTCCAACTAAAATGTTATTGATTTTTAAATAGTATAGAATGTTATTAAAGAACAGATAACTTCGAACAATCATTCTATTAACATTACTGGAAGAATGCTTATTTCTTTGAGTGAACTTTGCTAGAACAAATTTCTGAGAATGTTCCCTGTTAGCTGAGATAATTTGTGCCAAATTACATTCATCTGTAATATCGTTTCCTGTTTTACAGTTTTCTTGTCACAAAATGGCTTGTTGGTTATACTCAAGTTAGTCCTTAATTTCTGGTGAAAGTTATCCACTAGCATTCCCATTTATCTTATGGCAGTTGCTTGACTGGCATACACACATTTT